AAGAATGAAATAATGCCATTTTCAGCAACAGGGATGGACCTAGAGATTATCATACTAAGCGAAGTAAGTCAGAATGAGAAAGACAAATACCATATGGTATCACTTATATGTAGAATCTAAAATATGACACAAATGAACTTATCTACAAAACAGAAAAAGACAGATGTAGAGAACAGACTTGTGGTTGGCGGGGCGGGGGTGGGGGGTGGGGGAAGGGAAGGTGTGGGAGTTTGGAAATAACAGACGCAAACTGTTATATATAGGATGATAAACAGCAAGGTCCTACTGTATAGCATATATAGCACAGGGAAGTATATTCAATATCCTGTGATAAGCCATAATGGGAAAGAATATAAAAAATAATGTTTATATATGTATAACTGAATCACTTTGCTGTATAGCAGAAATTAACACAGTATGGTAAATCAACTATATTTCAATAAAATAAAATTTAAAATAAAGCTTAAAAAATAGAGTCATTGGTACCAGCTCTGGCTGTGAGAGCTAAGTAGCTCTGTCTTATGACTTAATTCTAAATTCATTCTCTGGAAAATGAAACTAGTGGGGGAGGGAAGGAATCAAGATGATGAAATAAGTTGTCACACCAGGAGACACCCAGGTTCCAACTCAGGGGTGTGGCTGTAGAAGATTAGGACAATAGTAGCATAAAGATAGAACCTAACTATCTCAAAAGATTCAAAAGACTGTCCATTTCTTCCTTTTGAATCTTTTGAGATAGTTAGGTTCTATCTTTATGCTACTATTGTCTTAAGATGAAGATCTACTAGAGAATGGACTTGAAGATATGGGGAGGGGGAAGGGTAAGCTGGGACAAAGTGAGAGAGTGGCATGGACACATACACACTACCAAACGTAAAATAGATAGCTAGTGGGAAGCAGCCGCATAGCACAGGGAGATCAGCTCGTGCTTCCTGACCACCTAGAGGGGTGGGATAGGGAGGGTGGGAGGGAGGGAGATGCAAGAGGGAAGAGATATGGGGACATATGTATATGTATAACTGATTCACTTTGTTATAAAGCAGAAACTGACACACCATTGTAAAGCAATTATACTCTAATAAAGATGTTTTAAAAAAAAAGATACAAAAGACTTAAGTGTGTAGTATAAAGTGTATTTGACTAATAGACATTAATCCTGTACCTCTAGTGTTTTTTGTAAACGTGTTTTTAAAGAACTAGACCCCCTGCCTTCATTTTAATTTGGGATCTTAAAATACAGTTTATCTTGAAAGAGTTTAAGACTCATAAGAAATTGCAAAAATGGGTTCTTTCTTTTTTTTTCCTGTGGCCATGCCACAGCTTGCAGGATCTTAATTCCCCAACCAGGAATTGAACCCCTGGCAGTGAAAGTGCTGAGTCCTAACCACTGGACCACCAGGGGAGTCCCAGAAGTTGCAAAACTGGAGCAAAGAGTTTTCAAGTCCCCTTCACCCAGCTTCCCCCAATGACAACATCTTACCTAATGGTAGCTCATTATTTAAACATGAAAATTGGCGTCAGAATAATACCATTAACACCAACTACAGACTTTATTCAGCTGTTTTTACATGCACTTTAAAAAATATAGTCCTTTGAAATTTTGTCACATGTGTAGATTGGAGTAACCGCCACCACGATCAGGATTACAGAATGGTTCTGACACTCCAAAGAAACTCCCCTGTGATGCCCCTCTATAGTTAGATCTTCCTTTGAACCCTAACCCCTGGTAACCACTGATCTGCTCGCTGCCACTCATCACTATGGTTTTGTCACTTGGAGAATGTTATATAAATGGAATCATATGCAGTATGTAACCTTCTGAGATTGGCAGTTTTCGCTGAGCGTCACACCGTTGAGATCTGTCTGGGTTGTTTTGTGTATCCCTGGTTTATTCCTTTTTCATTACTGAGTAGTATTCCATGGTACAGATGTACCATGGTTTGTTTATCCATTCACCCATTGAAGCCATTTGGGTTGTTTACAAATAAAGCTGCTATGAATATTTGCATGCACGCCTGTGTGAATAGCAGATTCTCCTTTTCAAACAAAATCTTATGCCGAACTCTGAGGTGAAGCAGTAAACGAAGTTGTGCTCTGGTTGAAACGGGAGGAAGACCCAGGACATACTTGCTTGGTTTCTCCTCTGCCCCTGCAAACCCTCACGGTTCCCAGGAACACAGTTTGAAAACCATTGCTCTTGGGAGCCCATCCTCTCAGACCATGGAGGTCTTGGGTTATCAAGGCTGCAGGATGTCAGGACATGGGCCAGTTCATTCCCCTATCTCTGTGGTGCTCAACTTTGTTGCACAAAGGAATCACCTAGAAGCATTAAAAAATCCACAAGCCCAGCCACATCCCACACCGACAAACCAAGACCCTCTGGGATGGGAAGCAGGCATCAGGTGTTTGTAAAGTCCCCAGGTAACGGATGTACAGCCAAGTTGGAAACCGATGCACTGAGCTATCTTCCTTAGGTGTGGGGTCCCTATTTCTGTTCGCTAAGTTAGTCCAGTCTTTTGCATTTTCTTGCCTTGGGTTTATAAGAAGACTCAATTTAGTATCATTTATGAATGTTTATCCTCAGTTGCAGAAACTGTGAACTGTTACAATTTTTTTCTTTGTTATCCTTTTATTTTTTAACAGCTTTATGGAGATGTAATTCATATACCACCCAATTCACCCATTTAAATCACCCCATTCACTGGTTTTTAGTATATTCACAGAATTGTGCAACTATCTCCTCCAAGCTGGATCCTCTAGCTTTTACCCTCCCATCTCCCCCATCCCCTCCAGCCCTAAGCAACAACTAATCTACTTTCTGTTTTTCTATGTGAAAAATTGAATAAAGTACAAAGACCAAAAATGGGGTGGAGTCCACAGAGTGGTGGGAGCCCAGAGTTGGGAGTGACTGGCTCAGTAAAGCAAGGAAGCCTTCCTGAAGGAAGTGGCATTTGTGCTTGGCCATTTTTGCTTGTGTCTTTGTTCCTTCCATGCTGCTAGCATGGGATGCCCTCTCTCCCTCCTCACCCTGTTAGTATAATTCTGCCTTCAAGGACTCCATTATCCAGCTTTGCTCATTGCTCTTTCTACACCGTTCCTCACATGTGGGCATGCCCTGCACTGTCCCCTTCGGTACCAATACCTGGTGGCTTCCCTCTGCACTGATGGGTCTCCCCCAGCAAGATAGGGCTCCGGAGCTCTTCAGCTCCACCTTTCAAATTTCTTCTGTGCCTTCCTATCTGGGGCCAATCAAAGCTCTTTACTCAGCAAATGAACATTCTCCATAAGAGCACAACTTAACAACAGAAGGACAACCCAATTTTTTAAAAAATACACAAAAGACTTGAATAGACATTTCCCCAAAGAAGATATAGGAATGACCAATAAGCACATGAAAAAGTACTGAATATCACTGATCACTAGGGAAATGCAAATCAAAACCACAATGAGATATCACCTCATACCCATCAGCATAGCTATTCCTAAAAAACAGAAAACAACAAGTATTGCTGAGGAGGTGGAAAGGTTGGAACACTTGTGCATTACTGATGGGAATGTAAAATGGGGCAGTTGCTGTGGAAAACAGTATGGAAGTTTCTCAAAAAATTAAAAATGGAATTAACATTTGATCCAGCAATTCCACATCTGGAATATACCCAAAAGAATTGAAAGCAGGAACTCGTACAGATATTTGTATGTTCATGTTCTTAGCAGCACTAGTCTCAATAACCAAAAGGTGTAAGCAACCCAAATGTCCATTGATGGATGAATGGATATGTAGAATGTGGTAGATCCATCCAATGAAATATTATTCAGCCTTAAAAAGGAGAAAATTCTGACACATCTTATGACATGGATGAACTTTGAGGACATTATGCTAAGTGAAAGAATCCAGTCATAAAACAACAAATACTGTATGATTCCACTTACATGAGGTCTATAAAGTAGTCAAGTTCATAGAGACAGAAAGTAGAGTGGTAGGCGTCAGGGACTGGAATGAAGAAGGAATGGATAGTGAGTGGTTTTTTTGGCTGCGTTGGGTCTTCGTTGCTGCACGTGGGCTACCTCTAGTTGCAGCGAGCGGGGACTACTCTTCGTTTCAGTGCACGGGCTTCTCACTGCGGTGGCTTCCCTTGTTGCTGAGCACCGGCTCTAGGTGCACGGGCTTCAGTAGTTGTGGCGCACGGGCTCTAGAGCGCAGGCTCAGTAGTTGTGGCGCACGGGCTTATTTGCTCCATGGCATGTGGGATCTTCCCAGACCGGGGCTTGAACCTGTGTCCCCTGCATTGGCAGGCGGATTCTTAACCACTGCGCCACCAGGGAAGTCTGAGTTAGTGTTTAATGGGGACAGAGTTTCAGTTTTGCCAGGTGAAAAGCTATGGAGATGGATGATGGGGATGGTTGCACAATAACATGAATGTGCTTAATGCCCCTAAACTGTACATTTAAAATGGTTAGAGTGGTACATTTTATGTATATTTTACCACGCACACAAAAATTTTTTAAATAAGGAGAGACCAAAAGTACAGGTATAAGCTTATAGGGATCTTGGCATCAGCCCAAGGCAGGAGTAGCTGTGTCAAAGCTTTCCCCAACTGCATGTTGTCCTGTCTCTTCAAGCTTCAGTCTCCTCATGGGGATAATAAGAGTGATCACTTGGCTGCAGTCATCAACGAAGATTTAATGTCCTTCCTATAAATGCTAAACCCAGTGTCTGAGACCTGGGAATGCTTGCTAATGAGCTGGTGTTATTGTTATTGCCACCTCTCTGAGCTTGCAGGAAAGAGCCCCAGCCTGGTTCTGCCTTCTCTCTGTGTGACCTCAGACATGTGTGCACCCTCTCTGAGCCTTGATTCTTCCTCTGAAATGGGCAAACTGCAAGGCATTGGGTGGGCACTCTCTGAAGGCAGCTGAATTAGGATGGGCTGAACAGAGGGCATAAAGGGTGAAGCATGTCCCAGATGCCCTGGTGATGGTGGGGGATGCCCCATGCCCCTCAGGAGCAGTCGAGCTGTCCCGGCGCCACCCCATGGCATCCTGGCTGTGTGCCATGCTGCATTGCTTCGGGAGTTACATCCTGGCTGATCTGCTCCTCGGAGAGCCCCCGGTCGATTACTTCAGCAACAACTCCAGCATCCTGCTGGCCTCAGCCGTCTGGTAAGAATCACTGGTCTGGTGGGATGTGGGAGAGCAGAGCAGGCGGGCAGAGTGACCCTGCCACCTGGGATTGGGGAGGCGGGAGGTTGGAGGAGCTAGAACCCACCAGCACAACCTCCACAGTGGTCCTGACCCACCACTTTCCACTGCCCAGCTGTCCTAAGCCCGGCAAGTGAGAGCGAGGGGTCTGGACACAACCTCATCTCCGAGGGGCCCCAGGGTCTGTCTCCCCCTGAGGCTTGGCATTCTCTCTCCAAAGGTACTTGATTTTCTTCTGCCCCTTGGACCTCTTTTACAAGTGTGTCTGCTTCCTGCCGGTGAAACTCATCTTCGTGGCCATGAAGGAGGTGGTGAGAGTCCGCAAGATCGCCGTGGGCATCCATCACGCACATCACCACTACCACCACGGGTGGTTCGTCATGATCGCCACTGGCTGGGTCAAAGGTAAACAGGACCATGATGAGAACAATGGAAAAGCACCCCAGCTGAGAACCCCTGTTCAGTGGGACATATCGGGCACCCCAGCTGGCACAGCCATTGCTCTGGGCTAAGGGATGTCAGGACGGCCTCCTCATCAGTAGACACCTTTAGGGTAACTGAGAAGATTCTTCCAGAAATTTAACTATCAAAGGTAAATAGGACAACGAAGCAATGACAGCTGATGTCTCTAGAGCAGGATTTCTCAACTGTGGCCCTACTGACGTTTGGGGCTGGACCATTCTCTGTGGTGGAGGCCATCCGATGCCTGTAGCACCTACCAGTGTGACAACCTAACTTGTCTCTAGACGTTGCCAAATGCCTCCTAGAGAGGAAATCATACCCCTGTAACTACAGAGGTTCTTACACTTTGTGGACTACAGCCCTTTTATCAGCCCAGTAAAGCCTACAGACCCTTTTCTGTTTTTTAAATGCATAAAGTAAAATATATAGGAGAATAAAGGAAGCCTATTACTTTAAAGTAGTTATAAATTAAAAAAAAAATACGCTGTAGTAGCTTTATCCATCTTTACTAGTGATTAAATAGCAGACCTTACAGTGGCTCCTGATAACTCTCAGACTTTTGAAGTGGTGTTGAGCACAAATGATATTTTGAAACCACCATCTGCAACAATGGGAATGTGAAAAGAAAAACATCCATGAATTCTGTTGGTGACAGAATCACAGACTTGCAAATCCTGCTGAGGTAACTGCCTCCCTTCATGATGGAAGGAAAGGCTGGATTTCAGTGAGGGATGTGAAAATGTAGATGTAATTCTGTTTCCTGTCTGGGTTCATAGACTCCAGGTTAAGATCCCTGACCCAGGGCAAGTTTTGAGTTGAGGCCTTTGTGCATCTTTTCTCATTTGATCCTTAAGACTCTCCTTTAGGAGAAGGCTAACATCATCTCTTTTTACAGAGGAGGGAAATGAAATGACATGCCCAAGGTCACACGGCTATGGGGACACAGCTGGATTTGACTCCAAGTCCTCTGAATTCAACATCCACGTTCCTAACAGCTTTGGAGCCCTCCTTTTTATCCTCCTCCATTTATGCTAAGAGGTAGACCAAGATAGACTTTGAGACAAAAAAATATTACTAAAAATATAGAGGGACAGTTTATAATGTTGGGTCACTCCACTAAGAAGATATAACCATTATAAACATATATGAACCTAAAAACAGAGCACCAAAATACATAAAGCAAAAGTAGAGGGAAGTTAAAGGAGAAATAGATAATTCAACAGTAACAGTTGCAGTGGTGGACCAAGGAGTAAAAGGAAGGCAGGGAAAGAAGGCTTGAGCAGGTGCTAAACACCACTGGGCACCAAATCCCTGCTGACCAAAGTGGGTACCCCCAAAATGCCTGGGTCTAGAATCATCATCCATTGAGTCAGAGTATCCTCAGTACCACCGACATTTAGGGCTGGATCATGCTCTTTGGTGGGGGCTGTCCTTTGCATTATAGGGTGTTGAGGAGCATCCCTAGCTTCAACCCATTAGTTGCCAGTAGCAGCCCCCTCCCCAGTTGTGACAACCAAAAATGTCTACAGATACTGCCAAATGCCTCCTTGGGGGCAAAGTCATCCAAGATGCAAACCCCTGGTCCAGTGGTGCATATCAGGCATCCCAGTTAGCACAACCACTCCTGGAGTGGGCGTCCAAGCCTCTTTAGCCAATACATTTGGGGTAAATGGGAAGATTCTTCTAGAAGTTTAACCAGAAATCTTGACATGGGTCTCATTCTCTCTCCAGGAAGCCTGTACTACAGAGCAAATTCCCCAGGGGTATGACATGCCTTCCAGAGGGCAAGTGGCTTGAAAAAGGTTGAAAGCTCAGAACCCAGAGAGAAGAGAGGCTGGGGGTGGGGAGCCCTCTGGAAGCCTCATGCACAGCTCAGGGTCCTGGATTGGGAGCATCAGGGCAGACAACCCAGATTTGTCCAAGACATACCTTGCAGGTGGGATATGACCTCGATTACTTCATGCTGGTTTTGCTCCAAATGTGCTGTGTGACCCTCAGCAAGACTGTCCCCTCTCTGGGCCTCAGTTCCCCCACCTGCAACTGATGATCATACACCCCAGGCTCAGTATCCCTCTGGAGGAGACTCCAGAAGCAGAGAAGCTGCTTCCTTGGGAATTCAGCCAAGAAGAACAGGGAGCTGGCAGTGGCGGGCTTGTTTAGAAGTACCCTGTCCCATAGGCTCTGGTGTCGCCCTCATGTCCAACTTTGAGCAGCTGCTCCGAGGGGTCTGGAAGCCAGAGACCAACGAGATTCTGCACATGTCCTTGTGAGTATCCCATCCTCCCTATTCCCTGGGCCTGACCCTGGGTTGGATACTCCTGGTAACTTGGAAGTCTCAGCCCCTGATTCTCCTTTCAGAAGCTTCCAGAGACCATGGCTGGGGGACCCCGGAGGTAGAGCCCTAACGCTACCTAGGGGCCAGGGGCAGGCAACGTTGCAGGGTGATGAGACACTTGATTTGGGTTTTGAAGAGTGAATAAGAGTTTTCTGGCAAAGAGGGAACTTCTGGACAGAGGCCAGCACCTCTGCCAACTCTCATGTCAGAAAAGAGCAACGATTCTGCCTGGTTCTGCAGGGTCAGGGTACAGATTGTGGGTGGGAAGTGAGGGATGCAGGATGTAGAACACAGAGCGTGGGTGAGGAGTGTGGCTGGGGCTAAGTGGGGAACACTGGGCAGGGCCAGATGGCAACATACAGGACTCAACCCAGGACCCCACAGGGCATTTAGCCTAATACATTTTTAAAAGACCTAAAGGTTCAAGCTAGTTAAATTTTCTCCCAATCTACAATAAAGCTGTTGCCATTAAAATATGACAACATTAAAAGGCTCACCCATATGCCAATGAAAACTATCTTCCATTTCATATGTTGGAAAACATAACTTTATCTCACTTTATGCCCATGAGAGGTTTGTTCCCACACTCAGTTCATGGACAGGGAAATGGGGGCTCAGACCGCTGTGTCCCTTGCTACTAAGAGGGCAAGTGGCTTCCCCTCTCAGATTCTATTTCTGCCTCATCTGCTGAGTGTGAAGGCTCCATCACACACATAACCCTCTGACCCTGGCTCCTGGTGCATGCTTTGGAAATATCAGGTCGAACTATCATCATTAAGTACGTGCGGTGAGCGACAGACTTCAGAAACAGAAGTCACTGGTCTGTCTTCTGCAACAAGTCAAAATATCGGAAGCCTATTCTTCAAGGAAGAAAAGGAAAATTAAGAAGAACTGTGTGTTGTAATCCCACCTTCTGGGGGCGTGCACTGTTCAGAAGTCCCCAAGACCACCCTCAGGTTTGACAATTTGCTAGAAGGACCCATAGCACTTGGCCAAGCCATTATACTTAGGATTATAGTTTATTACAGATTAAAACTGGCAAAGGTAAAGACATGTGGGGCAGCATCCAGGGAGAGACTAGGCGCAAGCTTCAAACTGTCCTCTCTCAGTGGAACTGTGTGGACAGCACCTGTCTCTCCCAGCATCCATGTGTGACTGTATGCATTGAAGATTGCCAACCGGTAGTGCTCCCCTGAGCCCTGGTGCTCAGGGGCTTTACTGGGGCTTGGTCACACAGACATAGCTGACTGCCTGCATGGCTGACCTCAGTCTCCAGTCCCTCCAGAGGTTCAGCTGATACCATGTGGCCCAAGACCCCACCCTAAATCACACCATTACCATCTGGTATGACCCCAAATCCCCAGGTAAACAAAGACACTCCTATCAGGCAGGACATTCCCAGGGCTTAATGGATACCTTCCAGGAGCAGGGCAAAGGAGAGACCTCTTTTGGGGCCAAGGTGGCTCTTTACTGTACAGGGAGATCCCCCGTCATCCATGTCACATGGGCGCCTTCCCACCATGCACTCTGGAGAAGCTGGGATGGGTGCTGGGACCAGCAGGGGTGGGCAGAGAAGGGGGCCTGGGACAGTGGTACAGAGGCCTGAGCCATGCAGAACCTCCCAGTAACCACAGCTACCCCCTCCAGCCCCACCAAGGCCAGCCTGTACGGAGCCATCCTCTTTACCCTCCAGCAGACCCGCTGGCTCCCAGTGTCCAAAGCCAGCCTCATCTTCATCTTCACCATGTTCATGGTATCCTGTAAGGTAAGCCTTCCTGTCCTGACGCCGACCCAAACCTCCCAGGCTGAGGTTAGGGAGCTTAGACTCATGGCCTTGAGTGTCTGGGGAAAGGACAGCCCTAAGGTCAAGGGGCGGGGAGCTTGTCAGTAGGTTCATGCATGGGAGAAGGGTATGAGAAGATTAGTGTCCAGCAGGTGGGGATGGCGGTGAGCAGAACAAGGTCTTCCAGGCAGGGGGCCCAGCAGGGGCAAAGGCCAAGATGGGGGCAGGAGTGTACGGAGTCTGTTTGGAGTATCAGGGCCTTGTGCCTCGGGCATGGAGAGCGGGCTGGACCAGGAATGGTGCTGGTCTGACCCTCAGGCCTTGAATTAGGGTCACCCCCTACCCAGGAAAGGTCTTCTGGGGCCATGCACTCTTCCCTCCCCGTGGAGCTGAGGGACTTCGCTGCTGGCTCCCCGGGAAGGGACCACAGGCCATCGCATAGGGAAAGGGAGTGAGCGACTCCAAGCCAAACACAGCTCCTCTCTGAGCCCAGGTGTGTGTGTGGGATACTCCTGGGGAAAAGGTGACCAACTGTCGTGGTGTGCCTGGGTTTTTAGCACTAAAATCTCGCCTCCCAGAAAGCCCAGGACACTTGGTCACCTTCTTAGGGGTGCATGCAGCCAGAAGGCTGGGTCTGGGCTACCTCTGCCCTTCACCTGGCTGACCTTCTCCCTTTTTCCCCCCCAACCCCCCACTTTGCTTCTGCCTCATTCTCCCTCTGGCTCTGTCGCCTCTCCTGTCCCTCTGCCACACAACCTCAGGTGTTCCTGATGGCCACTCACTCCCACAGTTCCCCTTTTGATGTTCTGGAAGGCTACATCTGCCCTGTGCTGTTTGGGTCGGCCTGGGGGAGCGACCATCACCATGACAACCACGGTGGATCCCAGGGCGGCACTGGGCCTGGCCCCTCGCACTCAGCCCTGCCCACCAAGTCCAAGGAGGAGCTGAGTGAGGGCTCCAGGAAGAAAAAAACCAAGAAGGCAGATTAGAGGGCAGCCCTGGGGGCATTCAGGGCACCAAGGAGAGGACCCAGACCCAGGACCTGGGCTCAGTTCTCCCCTCTCCAGGCCTCTACTTCGCCATCTACAAATTGGAGCCATTAGCCCCCCCCTCCAGGGCTGATGCGGGGGTTAAATGAGATATGGGGGTGAAGGGCATTTGTAGGAATGGGGGGGTCCCTTTCTCTTTCTGCCAGGTCCCCATAGAGTTACAGCTTTTGGAGGGGGGGAGTTCACAGAATCCCAGCAGCAGCTCCAGCCGGAAACCCTGGCCGTTATGTTCTTGGTTCTATTATTTCCTCTCTAAAATTACACCTTGACTCCAAAAGAATTTCAAGCCATGTTGAGGCTCATTCATTTGACGGACATTATACTAAGTGTCTGCTGTAAGGTAGCTGCTGTGATTTCCACGTCTCTTCTTGCCGACTTCTCCTGGGCATCCCTGGGCAAGTTGCCTCCTGCTCTGAGCCTTGCGTGCCCAATCTATATAGTGGCTCCTCACCCCATTCTGTATGCAGGGGCTGATGTGAGGCTGGACGTGAACCAGATTTCTAAGCTCAGAAGCACAATGCAGTTAGGAGGGGAAGCCTTGGTGGATGTTCATTGTGCGTAAAAATGGCTTTGCATTTTAGATCTTTTGTGTTTGTGGACTGGAGAACCCCACAAGTTACTTGGCACAAAGGAGGCCTTCAGGAGACATGTCTAAGCCAGACTTGAGAGCATGGAGGGTGGGGAAGGCTTGTTCTGATCCTTGGCTTCAGGTTGTTCCTAAACCAAAGAAATGCAGCTGGCTGGTCAGGGGTTCCAAGATCTGGCTCTGTCCAGGGGCTCCAAGAATTCACTGTTGGACCTGGGAAGCTCCATGAGACCTCCCTCATGCTGTCATCCTTCATTGCCGCTCACTGAGTCATTCAACAAACACATGCCTACTATGTGCCAAACCTTGTGCTGCTGCTAGACAGGCTGGGAACTTGATTCAGGGTGTGTGAGGGGGATGGGAGCTGAGCGTCCCTCCTGGCCATCTTCATCTCAGCCTAGGTCACCAGGACATCTGAGAGGGGTAGGTGGGTTGGGCATGGCCAGTCTCAGATGGGGTTGGGGCCCAGACCAGGCCAGCTTGGGACTGCCCTTTGTACACGGATGCTCAGAGCATGCTCAGGGCATCAGCCTGCAGCTGTGTCAGAGTGGTGTGGGATTGTTGGGGTTCCAGGTGTTGCCCAGCTCTTGGGAAAGTGCCTTGATCTGGTGAGGCCTGGGAGCTAGGTGGGTCCTGAGGCTGTAGGGCCCCCAAATTCCTCCTTTTGCATGTCCATCAAGGCTCAGCCTGAAGGGTCAGCAAATAAATTTGTTGTGAAAGAACCCTGATGCGTGTCTGATTCATTCTTGCTCTTTTGGCCTCGCGTCCCAATGGGAGTCCTGTGAACTTAGAGACGCATGGAGTTTCCAGGAGAATGAGGCTTATGGCAGCCCTGGATCACCAGCGGGAGATAGAGGCAGTGGGTGAAGTCTGCGGGGCTTGGAGTTAAGCAGAAACGGGTTTGATCCTCACTCTGCCATTGACGGGTCATGGGGCTTCCCCTTCTCTAAGCCCGTTTGCTTCTTGGGAAAAAGAGGATGATCATTATCATTGCCCTTCAAAGACAGGTGGAAGGATTAATGGGAGTGGTTGGGATTTGCAGCTAAGAGTCTGTGCAAAACCCTGTTAAGAGAATGAAAGTCAAGCCGCAGACTGGGAGAAAAATCTTTGAAAATCACACATCTGATGAAGAGATTGTATCCTGCATATGTAAGGAATTCTCAAGACTCAATAATAAGAAAACAGTCATTGGGGAAATGAGTGGGAAGACACCACTTCACACCCACTAGGAGAGCTAAGAGAAAAGAGACTGACCATACTAAGTGCTGGTGAGGATGTGGAGCAACTGGAAATCTCATACATGGCAGGCGGGAATGTAAAACAGTGCAGCCACTTTGGAAGACAGTTCAGCAGTTTCTTAAAAAGTTTTGTATGACCCAGACATTCCACTCAGGTATTTATTTGCCCAAGAGAAATGAAAATATGTGTCCACACAAAGACATGGACACGGGGCTTCCCTGGTGGCGCAGTGGTTGAGAGTCTGCCTGCCGATGCAGAGGACACAGGTTCGTGCCCTGGTCCAGGAAGATCCCACATGCCGCGGGGCGGCTAGGCCCGTGAGCCATGGCCGCTGAGCCTGCGCGTCCGGAGCCTGTGCTCCGCAACGGGAGAAGCCACAACAGTGAGACCACCAACCACCAAAAAAAAAAAAAAAAAAAAAAGACATGGACGCAGATGTTCATAACAGCTTTGTTTGTAATAGCCCCAAACTAGAAACAGCAAACAAATGTCCATCACGGTGAATGGGAACTTCCCTGGTGGTCCAGTGGTTAAGACTCCATGCTTCCAGTGCAGGGGGCTGGGATTTGATCCCTGGTCGGGGAATTAATATCCTGCATGCTATGCAGTGCGGCCAAAAAAATAAATAAATAATTGAATGAATAGTACTCAGCAATAAGGAACAAACTGTAACATGAATGAGCCTCAAATGCATCATGATGGGTGAAAAGAGCCATACAAAAAAGTATGCATACGGGATGATGCCATTCATATAAAATTCTAGAAAAGGCAAATTCACCTGTAATAACATCTGATCAGTGGGTGTTCGGGGAGAGAGAGAGAGAGACAGGTGCTGGGGTAGAAGGGATGGCAAAGAAGCAGAAGAAAACTTTGGGTGATGGATGTCTTCACCCTCCTGATTGTGGTGATGGTTTCACAGGTCTATATACATGTCACAACTTATCAAATTGTATACTTTAAATCTGCGCTGTTTATTGTATGTCAATAGTATTTCAATAAAGCTGTAAAAAAACTTAAGAAAAAAACTCGATAAAAATTGGGCAAAAGATTTGAACAGAGAGTTCACCAAAGAGAATAGATGTATGACAAGTAATCACATGAAATACACATTAAATCCACGATAAAATGCCACTGCAGTATCTGTTATATAGGCCGAATTGTGACACCCCCGACCCCCATTTTGGGAGTTGGAGTCTTTAAAGAAGTGATTAAATTCAAATGAACTCTTTAAGGTGGACCCTAATCCAGTATGATTAGTGTCCTTATAAAAGAGGAGATTAGAACACAGACATACACAGAGAAAAGACCATGTGAGGACACAGGGAGAAGATAGCCATCTACAGGCAATGGAGAGAGGTCTCAGAAGAAACCAGATGTGCTGCTGACACTTTGACCTCGGACTTCCAGCCACCAGAACTGTCAGAAAATAAATTTCTGTTGTTGAAGCCACCCAGTCTGTAGTGTTTTGTTACGGCAGCCCAAGCAAACGAATACTATACCAGTTAGAGTGAGTAAAATAAAAATAACTAAAAATGCCAGGTGCTGGTAAGGATTTGGAGCAACTGGAATGCTCATGCACTGCTAGTGGGAAAGAATTGGGTCGTTTCATATAAAATTTAACATCACTGACCATATCACGCAGCAATCCCATTTCTAAGTAAAGCACAAACTCATGTTCGCACAAGAAATGTTTATAGTGGCTGGTTTTGGTAATCACCCAAAACCAGAAATATCCCAAATGCCCATCAGCTGGTGAGTGGATGAACATCATACAATGATCCCATCACACCATGGAATACTACTCAGAGAAGGAATGGAACGAATTTTTGACACACACAGCAATGTGAATGAATTTCAAAAGAAGCCGGACTCTGGTTACATCCTGTGTGCTCCCTTTATAGGATGTTATAGGAAAGGCAAAAATTATGGAGACGGGACACAGATCAGTGGGTACCAGGGACTAGGAGTGGGAGAGGAGATTGTCTTCAAAGGGGCCAGGGGAACTTCAAGGGGAGAGGGCAGCAGAACTGTTCTGTATCTTGATCGTGGTCAAAACTTACAGAACCGTATGCTGAGAATTCTACCTTAATCAAAAGAAAAGGAAACCAGAATAGGCTCTGAAGCTTCTCAGACCTGTTCCCATCCTGCCTTTTCACCTTCGAGGTGTGTGGCATTGGGCGAGTAACCCCCCTTCTCCGAGCCTCGCTTTCCTCCTCGGACGAACAGCAGGAGTGTCTGGAGTTGGATTACAAAGACAACTCTCTAAGAGTGCACAGAATGCTTCTGCTTGGACTCATCTAGCACCTGGTGGGTGTTGGCAATAAGCTGGCTCACTGCCTTCCAGCACAAATGTTCTGAGATCTCATTTTATGAGAGAACAGATTGTATCAAAATAGCCTCTCAGCCTATTTTGGGAAGCGGGTGGGCAAGCCACTGGCTGGTTGGGGAATGACTGGCAGGGCAGGCTGACGCTGCCATCCCATGTAGGTGTGAGAACTCTGATGGCCAGCTCTCAAGTCCAGCCTAATTTTAGATGCAGGTGTCGTGCTCAGTAGCTTCTTTGGTCTTGAGTTGAGAGAAAGGTTCTTTTATTGTTATTGTTATTATTATTATCATAAAATACACAACATGGTTCTATTATTATTGTTATTATTGTAAAAGACACAACATAAAATTTGCCATCTTAACCATTCCTAAGTGCACAATTCAGTGGCATTAAGTACATTCACATTGCTGTGCAACCATCACCACCATTCATCTCCAGAACTCGTCCATCTCCTCAAACTGAAACTCTATCCTCATCAAACACAAACTTCCCATTTCCCCTCCCCCAACCCTTGGCACCCACCATTCTACTTTCTTTCTCTAAGACTTTGACTATTCGAGGGACTTCACATTACTGGGATCATACGGTAACTGCCCTTTTGTGACTGGACTATGTTACTCATCATAATGTCCTCAAGGTTCATCCATGTTGTAGCATGGGTCAGAATTTCCTTCCTTTTTAAGGGTAAATATTATTGCTTTATATGGATATACCACATTTTACTTATGCATTCATCCATTGATGAAAACATGGGTTTTTTTCTACCTTTTGGGTATTTTGCAAAATGCTGCTGGAACATGGGTGTACAAATACCTCTTTGAGACCCTGATTTCAGTTAAGAGGAAGATTGTTGTAGTGAAAAGGAGGGGGTGGATGCGGAGCCACTGGGTGCCAGGGTCTAGTCCTACAGAGAAAGAGAACAGTAACCACATTCCGAGGGCTTTCTTTCTTGGTGCCACACCCTTTGATGAGCTCTGTACATGCCTTATTTTCCTTGGTCATTGCAACAATCCAAGGTGGGTGTATGAATTTCCTGTGGCTATGGTAATAAATTACCATGAACTTGGTCACTTAAAACAAGAGGAATTAATTCTCTCACAGTTCTGGGGGCCAGATGTCTGAAATCTAGGTGTGGGCAGGCCTGTGCTCTCTCTGAAGGCTCTAGGGGAAGATCCTTCTTTGTCTCTTCCAGCTTCTGGTGGCTCCAAGCATTCCTTGATTTGTTGCTGCCATCACTCCAATCTCTGCCCCCATCTTCACATGGCCTTCTCTCTCTGTCTCTTTCCCTTTCTTTTATAAGGACACTTGTCATTGGATTTATAGCCCACTCTAAATCAAGGATGATCTTATCTCAAGATCCTTACTGCAAAGACTCTTATTCCAAATATGATCACATTCACAGGTTCTGGGTAGACATTTATTGGGGGGGTGGGGGTGGTTACAATTCAACCCATTATGGTGGGAAACTGTTATTCCCACTGGACTGATGGGGAAACTGAGGCTCAGAGAGGGGAAGGAACTGACACAAGATACTTCTGCTGTTCCAGCCCTAGAACCAGCCATTTCTCCAAGGAGCCCTGGTTCTTTTGTTGGAGAATGGTATTTAGAAACCAAAACCTGTGCATGAGGTGTGCTCATTGCTACTGGGATATCATTGCTTCCAGTTCCAGCTCAGCAGCTGATGACCAACCACCCTAGGGTTTCCCAGAATGTGGGCATTTCAGTGTTGAAACTGGGATAGTCTCAGGCAAACTGAGACAGTTAGTCACCATGTCCAGAGGTCAGAGCTTTGAAATATGCGTATGAATATGACACACACATCCATACAGGCACACCTAAGAAATATTGCAGGTTCAGTTCCAGACCACCACAATGAAGTGGATATCACAATAAAGTGAGTCACATGAAATTTTTGATTTCCCAGTGTATATAAAAGTTACACTATACTGAGATCTATTAAGTGTGCAATAGCATTATGTCTAAAAATTGTACATCTCAATTTAAAAATACATATTCGCCAAAAAACGCAAACCATCATCTAAGCCTTCAGTGAGCCATAATCCTTTTGCTGGTGGAGGGTCTTGCCTCAGAGTTGATGGCTGTTGACTGATCAGGTTGATGATTGCCAAAAGTTGGGGTGGCTATGGCAATTTCTTA